GTCGTCGTCGTTGTTGTTGTCATCGTTCAGTCCAGTGCTGTTGTGCAGAAGGGAATGCTGGGAACTTGGAGGACTCAGTGCAGTGGACCTGGACGACAGGAGAGAGGAAGACGATGTCACACCTTAAACAATAAAATGTATTAATTGGCTGTATTTATTTTGAGAATTTATGACTTTAACTGCTAAGTTTTGAGAAAAAACAAACAAACAAAAAAAACACCCTGCACATTCTTGTTTTCCAAAATGGCCGCTCGCTTGCCTCCCTTTGTAATTCTGTTTTTGATTTTGGCCAAGTTCCATCCTGAGCGGTTAAGCAGTTCCATACTGTGCAGCTAAGGCGATTGGATTTTCATTTGTGGAGCTCAGAGCGCTAGAAAATGACATTAAACTGCGCTTCTTTTCCAGAAATAGTGCGCCGGCTGCTCTGGATAAGTTCTTATTGGAACTAGTGTCTAACAAACATAGTAAAAGCTAAACAATGGACCCCCAAAAGTAACTGCACAGACCACAAAAGTAACTGCTATTTATGTGCCAATCCTTTAAGAATACACCTTTATTGCAGATATGTTGGCGTGTCACAGTCGCTCCGTGTTACTCAAGTGACCCTGACACTGAAGCAGCTAAATGGAATGCAGCCGTCATTTATTCCACCTGTGAATTTATGGTGTATCTTCCTACAACCAACTTTAACCGCTGTTGAACGAATCAGCCGGTTGCGTAACGTCCTTACATTTGAGGCTGGAGGGCGACTCCTCATGACGTCCCCTCAGCGGCGCTCTTCACACAAGCAGCGAAGGCCTCCATCAGATCTTTGCAGCCCTCGGCTCCCTTCTCCGCCACACTGAAAGAAGAAGAAGAAGAAGAAGGATTAGCGACAATTAGATCGCAGTCGTTTCAACAGCGTCGCGAGTCGAGGTTTTGTCAGCAGCAGTCGGACTCGACAGTCCAACTAATTCTGTTGTCAAAACACGTGCTTGTTTCATGTGCTAACGGATTGGAAACAAAAACAAGAGAGAAGAGGTGTGCACAAAACAGACTTTTCTCTTGGGATGAATGAAGTACATCTGAGTTGATCAGAAGAGAGAAGAAGTGAAAGATGAGAACAGAAAGAGAAGGAAAGTGAGAGAGAATCCGGCCTCTCATTCAGGACAGCAGCCGACTCTGCCACAGTGCATTAGGGTGATGGAGCGAGAGGGAGGAAGGGAGGAGGAGGAGGAGACGGGGGGAGAGGAGGGATACAGAATGTGGATGGACCCATCTGGTTGACAGGACGCCAGAGAGGGAGGGAGGTTGCGTGATAATACAGAGATGACAGGAGACGGAGGTAAGAGGAGGAGTCTCCTGTTACATGAATGTAAACTGGTTCTCTGACTCCTCCTTTTGCTTCATGACGTCCCATCATCACAGCTTTTCCCATAATCCCTCACTCACACTATTGAAGATCGAGGTCACCAATCTCTCCATCCCAGTTCAAATGAACTTCACAGCGTCCAATGCTGACTATTGAAAAAACAGTTTTCCTATTTTATGTACACACTTAAAGGGTAAAACTGGCCATATGGAACTCAAGCAAGTCCAGATGCTACGATTAATCTACGAGAATAACCATGACCTGGATGACACGACTGGCAATATGGTTTTTCTTTTGGTCTTTTTATTACGTCACAAAATATTGTGAGCATTGTTCCTTTAAGTTAAAATTGTTGAATTTTTTTGGGAAATTATTCCGTTTTTTTCTGTTTCAAATAGTATTTCTTTTAATTAGGTATTCGCCTGCATATATCATTCAGCATTTAGCAGCATTTAGCATTCACCAAAATCAACCAGGATTAAAAGGTTAAAGAAGTATTACGCTGCGTTAGCATTGCAGTGCTATAACTGTGTCAAACTAACAACGGATGTTTAAAACAAAAAGCTATAAAACTGATGCTGTACAACATTTCAGTCCACATTGTTCTTGTCAGAACAGGTGCCTACATTACCCACAATGCAGCTATGACCACTGGAGATTCAGGTGTGTTGTGCTAGCAGCGGCTAATGTAGCCCTGACCTGCTAACCTGAGGCAGAGAGAAGGAGTCGGCTACTGCTAAGCTAACGTCCCTCAAACATTACATCACTCGTTCTTTTTCGTTTTCAAAATTGTAGTCTTCAGACGTTACTCATGAAGTCAGTAACATTACATGAGGACATTTATCAGCTTCCTAGAGTCACCAACAGGTTTACACAACTTTTTGACTATTTCCCAACACCTGCAAATAGAATTTACCTGTATTTCAACTTAAAATGAACAGTTAATCAACTGAGAACAATAATTATTTGGCTTCTAAAACTCTATACGCTAAACACACTAAATATGATGCTTGAGCCAGGACATGGTTAGCTTAGCATAAAGACTGGAAACAGCTAGCCTAGCTACGTCTAAGGCTAACAAAGTCTATCGTTCAACAACTTTGAAGCTCAGAAGTTATGGTGTGGTGTCTCTTTTACATAATTAGACATCAATACGGTTACATGTGCAAGTTTTAGCTCAACTGCAACTCAATTAATATAATAAATGAAGAGTTGGCCAAACTATGGAGTCTACAATAAAAGAAGAAAAAAAAAAAGAGTAGAGTAACTAAGGGCTGAAATTTCCAGTGTTGATTAATCTTTTCATTATTTTATTGATTCATTGATTAGTTTGGTCTACAAAATGTCCAAAAATAGTGATAAACATCAATCACTGTTCTCCAAAGCCAAAGATGACGTCCTCAAATGTCTTGTTTTAAACCACAACCCAAAGATTTTCACTTCACTGTCATAAAGGAAACTAGAAAATGTTCACATTTCTCAAGCTGGAATCAGAGGATCAATTCACTGTTGCGGCTTTGGGGTAAAGTCTGCTCTACAATTGTCCAAAGTGTGGAAACAAACAGCATCACATTACTGTGTCACATCCATTTTAATAGAGCCGTTGAGCTGCACAGGGTCATCTCTGCTGCTTTATCTCTTCGCGTTGTGGCCGGCTGCCTATTAGTGATGTAACACACAGCTGGCTGCAGCAGATTATCACTCAGCACTTTACTTTGCCAGGAGAGATGCAGCGAAGCCAGAGTGCGTTAGGAAACGGGAGCCATTGAGTGTCGACTGTACTCGTGCATTTCAGAGTGTGTGTGTGTGTTGTGTGTTTGCGTGGACACAGTCGATGTGTGCTTATGTTTGACGCATTGCACTGATGACCCGACATCAGAGCAGAGAGTCGAACCCTGAGGGTGTGTTGTCAGATAATCCCGCTGGAGCACCAGCCGTCCAACACGACACACAATCTAAACGCAAAGACGAGGATTGAGGAACCTTATTGTGTTTTATCAGCATGAAGCAGCAGCATTGTTTCACCTGATTTCCTTTATTTGAAATCAGGTGACTGCACTGTGGATGCTTTCCTATCAGCATTTCTTAAGCAGCTCAGTCCTGATATGTAAACATGTATACGATGTGGGGATTATATAAGACATCGCAGCAGGGCGCTCACATGCAGAGGACGGCAAGGAGCGGATGACATCATCACCACCGCAGCCATATCACGCCATCTCCTGAGAGATCTCAAGCGAGGTCACGTTACAGGGTCATGGGGCAAAGCTGGGTCGTCATAGCAACAAGGAGGCAAAGCTTTCCTTCGTGACAATTCATTCAAGTAACGCACGACCATCTGTCCTAGCGAGCCGAACCAACTTCAGTGCAGTGATGCCGGCGCGCCCGGGTCTGGCCGACCGCCACGCCGGCTCCGTGGGAGAGTGACGTCGTCTCGGACACGATCAGGAAATGAATTCTGAATTATTTACGCTGAGCTTGCTGTACGCCGTCCCCTGGGACACAACATGCATAATAGAAGACGGAGCAGGTGCAGCAGTAAAACATGATGCAGGAGCCAAGCATTAGTCAAGAGATCATGTGATTAAGGGTGAGCGTGGCGTGCCGTTGTCCTGGGGGGGCAGTCGGTGAGCAGATCAGTGAAGCAGTGCATCCCTGGGGGTCTTAGGACAGCGACCTTTTCAAGCACTGCCCGTAAAAAGTATCCCTCGGAAGTTTTATCCTTTTTATTGATTTTCAACACTGAATCATGTTCGATTTAAGTTTTTGACAAGAATTTATGTTAAAAAAAGAATCTTTCATGTCAAAGTGACAACAGATTTCTACAAAGTAACGTCGAATAATTAAAGTTTGTGCCTCTTATTTCGGCTTTTCTCATCTCGTGCACTTTGTTTAGCATCTAAAGAAGAACATTTTACAATATTAACTAATAAAGTAAGCTTTGAAAAGCCTTCAACAGCATTTATTGCTTCCTTCAAAGACAAAATATTGTGTTTATTTCAATTTATATTAGATTTTCCAAGATGTGACTGTATTTTCAATCAATTTTGTTAAAGAATGACATCATGTACTTGCTCCTTCTGTTTAAAATGAGCTAAAAAATATAAAAATTAATATGATTTTTATGGTAAATATATAAAATAGTAGACATAAATAGGGAAATATGATAATAAATGTAAGTAATTACGGTTCATACATAGCAAATTAGGCATGGACATTCGTCATCTCTGGTTACCATCTGTTTTGGATTAAGAGACAGTGCTGCAATCTTTGAAAAAACAACAAAACTTTTTTGGGGGGGTGTTTCTTGCAATGAAAACAGATGCTTAGCTAACATGACTTGAATGCAATAGTAAAATCTGAGACACAAACTAGGATAAAAGTCTACAACTAGCAAAATGCATCTCATGTAAGCAGGATTGAAGACTTTAGGAATTCCCTCCACATCAACAAGATTCTTTAAGTGATGCAGAGGTGCAGAAAGCCTAATAATAAATAAGTCTGCTCCTGATACACAGTGCAGCATGCTGGGTCGGGGGGGAGGAGGCCGGTGTCGGTCTGACACAGCGGCAGCTCAACACTCAGATTACTGACTTCTGCAGAGTCACCAAATTCCGCAACGAAAACCAGGATGGTTTCCACCGGCAAGAATGTACATGCATGTCTGCGCAGACAACTGCAGGCGGTCGGTAACGGAGAGGCGACCATGTGTGTGTGAGTGAGTGAGTGGGTGGAGGGCGAAGGAAGAGTCGGGGGGCTTGTGTTCAACTCTCATGAGAAAGCCTGGAGTCAAAAGGCACAAGACGAAACCCTCCAGTGCGATAGATATATGAGTTTGGAGTAACTTCTTGCAATAATTGGATGCTAATGTCTCACTTTCTTTAAAAAAGCTAGACAATAAAATGTACTCATGCAGTGTAAGTATGTCAATACATACTTAACAGAGCTTAATGTGAGATTTTTCTTGAATTAGTCAAGAAAAATGTATATTTAAGATAAATCAAGCGGCTAAATGAAGTCAGAATGAATTAAATTTGATTCGATAAGGGGATTTTTTTCCATTGCAGAAACAATAAATAAACAGGAATGAAAGCTGTTAAATGACTGACGTTAAAGCAACAAGGATTTACATATTGTGCACGCGTTACATGGGATATCTTTAAGGCTTCACTCGCTTTTAGCTTGTTGCTCACTTCACCTCTGCATGACCTTCTCAAGGTCACGTGTCCTGCTGCTATTTAAAAAAATCAAACTGTAATAAAAAATGGATTCTCCCAATAAACCTCATAAAAAGCCTGCCCTGAAGCAGCGGCCAAAGGATTAAATCTGAAATCGAGCGAGTATAAAGAGATGCTTATCATCTCAACATGAGGGCCTGGAGCCAAGATGGCCGCCTCCATGCAGTCTCAAACGTGTCTCCGGCCGACTGTGAATGTGAGGCCTTTGCTTATTTGGCTGGTCTGGGTGAAGAGGGGCAGGTGTCAGGTGGAGCGGTAACGTGATCTATGGCTGGGAACATGTCACGGTATCCTGCACATACGGTCTCGCTCGTACACACGCCAACATCCATGACTTTTACAAGTTGCCATCTATAAATACACAAGGGTTCTGGTGTTGATTACAAGTAAAGCCTATAGAATCTGTGGTCGGCTTGAAGATGATTGAACTGAAACGGAAGGTCCAGACGGACTCGAGGCCTGGTGGCCCACGCAGGAGCGTTCGTCTTACTGTGGAGCTGACCGCAAGGAAGGACGGCGCTCGAGGGGGAGCCGAGAGTATGAAATCTGAACACTGTCCCTTGAATGAATGAATAAATGGATGTAAAACCTGCATTTAAAAGACACTAGATGCTTTGGTATCATAGAGATCAAAGTGGGCCTCCTTCAGCTGTGATGGATGACAAACTGTTACCTTGACCTGTTGCTGGCAGATTTAAGACACTCACTTGAATGGCAGTGAGGCCTTCCCAGAGCAGAGGTCAGTGTCAGCAGATTGAATGTAGTCACATGGAACAAAGGACTACTGAGAACATGGTTAGCTAGTAAAGCTGAATGGAGACATTTGCACCAAGAAGCTCCAAAGTTTTCACATCAAAGTCTGTTTACAGATCTTGGGGCGTTAAAGAGAAGGAATGTTTCTGTCCGTGGTTGAGTTTCAGGCAACATACCGATCTGCTCAAATGTCAGCTCTGAACCTTAACAGAAGACTTTTGGCTCCTGAGTTCAAATATCTGTCTCGTGATGTGTTTAAATACGGTCAGGAGCTTGTAAGTTGATGTTTTCTGAAAGCTTAAAGTTGACATTTTGTTTGCTGAGATCTTTAGAAATGGTCGAGGTCATGGAAGTACATTTTTCTTTGGTTGGTAAGTGTTATATTGGAGTTGTATGGACTTTTTCTTTGTAATTTTGTAGTATTTGATCCAGATGTTCCCAACAGTCTCAGCTTCTCCTTATCCCTTTGCATTTCCTACATCACCCACTCGTTAGCTTGCTAAATGGTTAGCCTCGGTGGCTTCGAGACACTGACAGTTGAGTTGCAGAGTTCTCACACTTAAATGTTGAGCACTTTGTGACTTCTCATGTCGGAATCAGAAGCTAATTAGAAGGCAGCATAAGAAGCTACGTTGGTCACGGTGGCTCAGACGTAACACTGACATGTCACCTTTTATGCTAACATGGCTAACTTATTATGAAACAGCTGCTTGTAAGATCCAGAAGTTTATTTTTAGCTAAAGAATTTTAGCTCTATATTCATTCTCCTGTAGCGCAGGTTTTGGCCCCTACAACCACAGCTGCATGATGAAATAACTGGCATTTAGCTTCTAGATGCTAAATGCTAAGTTCACCAGCTAGTCCCTAACTGTGTCTATCCTGATGGTCCAATGCTATGGTGGAAGTGAGGGCAAAGAGTGCACCAAAACAGTGAAAGGTAGCTAAACAGCTAAACCATTAGCCGAAACTTGATATAAAGCCAATTAACTGTATATAAAAGATGGACGTAGCAACCATGATGACACCCTTTGGTTTGTGGACTACTCTTTGAAGCCTTGAGTTTGGAATTTCGCCATCTTTTCAAACCAGATGTAATGATTGAGTGGTGGATCTGACTAAGACCCTTAAGTTGTTGCATATGGTAGCGACCTATCAATTTCAAGGTAGTCCTTTCTGAACATGATCGACTTTATTGCATATTTTACTCTGAATGAGATCAAAATTTTAAAACTGCATGTCAAGCTGAATTCAAAAAGTCTAGTTTAAGTCATTTTCTCATTGGTTTTACCTTCAGAACCAGAATCTACATTTATATTTTTTATATACAGTGTTTGATAAAGCTGAAGACAGCTGCAGATTCCCAAATAATTTACTGTAGGTTCATGAGACACACTGCTTTCACATTGATGACAGTTGCTTTAACTTGAGGTAAATAGTTCAGTAGCATCCCACTGGACCTTTCTGATGAACATTTGTGTGTACCAAATATATATCTGGTTAACAATTTAACATTACAGACACTATAGGTCGTGGGACAAACACCCAGAGCAAACATCTTGTATAATGTGTGGAGCCACTATGACCTGCAGATTAACACTGGCAGCTTAAAATGTCCTCTATGGCCATATTTACTGGTGCTGGTGCTGCCTGACTTTTAACCTCTCAAAGTCAAGGGTTCAGGTTCTGCTGACATCTGCTGCATGTGACGGCCCACATACAATAATCACCTGAAACCACAATACGTGGCGTGACTGACAAACACCTTGTCACCTTATTGTGTTGCTCTTTAAAACACCATTAAGCGGCAACCTTGGCCAGAGTTCCCAGTATAGGCTCTACTTTCTTTAAACAAGCTGCAGTAAATGGCACGAACTTCCCAGAGAATGTCTGGAATGTCTTTAACACAAAAGCAGCCCAAGTTATCTCTCAATGATGGCTGATTTATATGTCTAAACCCTAAACATAGATCTGTGCCAAATGAAATTTCAAGCTTCAAAGTCATCTTTACAGTTCGTCAACACAAAGTCGGCACTTGTAAAAATTTAACACATGATTAGCCAATCAGCCAAGCCTTGCGTTCATTCCCCCACCCCAACCTGCGGTCTTATCAAAAGGCTTCACACGCTCCCAGCCACCTTATCAAGGCCCGACAGTCTGGCCAACACCAACCTGGAGGTCTTCAGCAGCAATAAATTGTGCTTTTTTCCACAAAAACACCAAGATTAAGAATAAAAAGGGGCAAAAACACAACTTTACCTGCAACAAAATGCTTCCTGACAGACCATTTGATCAGAGCTCAAAGGTTGGTGACATTTAAAAAGAAACCCCTGTCTGTCAGAGTGTTTGTTGATGTGCAGATGTGTAGAAATGTTATGTAATTGCTGGTCTTCGCTCACTCAGAGCAGCGCCTGCCGCAATTAAAGACATCATCCCCTCCAAAAAAAAAATGTCCCTGCACTGGTGTTCCCGGCCGTTGACACAGCAAGAAGCACAAGGAGACAGCGGCATCGAGCTAACGCAAGGTATTGTGGGGAAAGGGACGCCAGTGACGCAAGCAGATTCCCAGCCTTCATCCATGCGTATGGACGAGCATCAAACAATCACCCCGCTGCCACATATCGTTAATCGGCAAACTGTTATCCCCGACAAGGGGGGACCCCAGGTTTCCATAACCTTCACCCCTGCTCCAAGCCAGGATGTCAAATTCAGTTACATCTCAACATCAAAGACACGGTGGGTTTTTCTGCGCTAACCCCAGTGTCCGCTGATGAGACTCCATTTTAGTTTGGCGCATTTTGGGATGCCATTGTCTACGAGCAATCCCTTCTTGTTTGACTGTGCAAGCTCGGAATTTTATTTTTTTTTGTTATTTTCCGTCCAAGCTCGGACGCGATGCTGCGTTTCCTTCAGCGGTTGGTCGCCTCGTTAGGTAACACATCGATAATCAGATTTTTTGGTCGGGGCTTCTTCACCTTCAGCTGTTAAACATCTGAGCAAACAGTCGAAAGCAACTCTCGAAACCGGACGAGAACTTGCGAAAGTGTCAAAGGTGGATCAAGAGGTTCCTACGATGAGTTTGGCATCACGGAGAAGAACCTTGACTCACTTCTGAAGGTTGTGCCCACAAAAAAGTAGAAGAAACACATCTATGCATTTTCTTTTTTGTTGTTTTTGTTTGCAACATGCACACCATCACCTACCATTTGTCCAGGTCAGCCTTGATGCTGGCACAAGCAGCGGGGACGGGGGCCTCGGCGGGGGCGGCGGCGGCTTCAGAGTCCGACATGTCTGTGGTGGTGGCGGCGGTGCTGCTGTGTGGTGCAAGAGGGTGCGTGTCCTGTCCTGTTCCTGTCCTCCGAAATCGCCTGTGGATCCCAGTGCCACCAACAGAGAGAGAGAGAGAGAGAGAGAGAGAGAGAGACAGTGGAGATGAGAGTGAGTTGGTGAAAGGGGAGGGCAGCACCGGAGGAGGTGGGAGGAGATACAACATGTGAGAGGGAAGCACACGTGTGGACATGGCGGTTCAGGGTGGGAGGAGGGTTGACAGGAGGGGTGAGGGGGCAGTGACCTAGGGTGAGGGACTGGGGGAGGAAGACTGGGAAACAAGGACAGGAAAAGGGGGAACAGCAGGTGTGCTGGGGTTCCCTATTGAATGAGGTTCACCAGAAGGTTTGGTTCCTCAGTAGAGCTCAGGCATCAAAAAAGTAGATGAACTAGAGGCACTAAAACCTGAATGTCAGCTTGAATTTCTGCTCCTTAGATACGAAATGTTGCAGGAAAACCCACTAATGTGACGCTGGATTCATGCATATCTCAACATATGCACAATGCGGTGGAGCGTATTGATCAGTTTCTGTGGCCCAAGCAGCATGGCAATAACAACAACCACTTCTCCAACAAGATACGTCCATTGAATGCTGCCATCTACTGGTGGCTCACTGCAAGTGCTTGTAGCATCTTGCAGCTACCGCAGCCTCCATCACAGCACATGGCTGCCATGCATCAAAGGTCAAGGAATGCAATGGAGTAAAATAAAATGAAAGGGCGCCATATTTCATAATCAGGCGTTAATGTGGTGTAGCTGTGGGCATTTACTGCGTTAAGTCAAAACCAAGCAGCCGAGCTCAGGAAAATGTCCCCGTAGGAACGAACTCAAAAGTGGTTCCAAGGTCATAGTCAGAGCTCAGTGGAACATCAAAGTTTCGAGACAAAATCTTTTCATTATCAGTTAGTAGGTGGATTAGTTTTTTTTTTTTTTGATGAATCCGTTGTTAGACTTTGAAAGGAAAACAAAACACTTATTACAACTTCTCAAAACATAAAGGGGCAACTTTGACGTTCTTGTTTCGCACGTCATAACGCTATAAAACTACGAAGAGGCTAAAGCTAAAGGATCTTCAGCTTTTTTCACCCCTTTCATTCGTTTCTGTCCATTGATCAACGAATCATTAAAGTTCTCTGGAGCTGCAGAATGACAATCATATTTTCAGCAGAATTATTCTTGATTAGATTTTGATGCCGTGGATAACGATTTTTCATCATTTAAACTCCCCATTATTTAAGAAAACAGGAACTGTTTTGAACCTCGTGGGATTTTTTCCAACGCCTGGAGGACAACAAGTGGAATTCATTTGCCTCAGTGTTACCAAGCTGCTGCACTGGTTTCTGTTGGTCAGCGAAGAAAAATTCAAACCATCTGAATGGCTGGTAATAAGAAAGGACATATATATAGCGGGGGGTTTGTGATTCATTACATAACGACCCTTTAACAGAATTATGATCTACTTACGACTGAGAATTGATGTCTCTTATCATTCCAAGTCTTTACTGATCCTTGTGTAATGTTACATCAGTCAAAGCCGTCTCAGACATTATGCAACCTGAGGAAGTCAGGATTTTGAGCTTCTGCTGGTTTTCATAAAGACTAGATGGGCTTTTGTGCACAGAAAAAAACACTTTGCAAAGTTTGCAAGGCGACTGCAAAACTAACCCCAACTCCAGAAAGTTTTCCTCCCTCAGCTGATCTTATCAAAGCTCTTGTGGCTTGTGACCCTTACACCTGGTAAAGATAAATGAGCCATGTTGCTTTGAATGAAGGGAAATGCAGTCTTTCACCACTTTAGAGGCAGCATTCAGAGAAATACTAATTGCTTAATGACGGCAGTTGAAGCAGAAATGATCAACTTTTCTTTTTTTTTTCCTCTCTCTCTCTTGATTTTGTAACCTCAATCCCACGTCAGCAGGAGCTCACACTGACTGGCCTCTTCAGATTCCTGAAATAATCCCAGCTGCTCATTCATATGCCACAAAGAAAAGTGTCTCTAAATTACATTAGCATCAAATGTCAACCAATTAACTCCCTGCATGGAAAAAAAAACCCTTCTCTTCTCACCTCCTGTTGCAGAAATAACACGTTCTAATGCATAAAGTCTCAGGGATGAGGTAAAGATAAAGCTTTAAAGATAAAACTGTACAAGATAAAGGAGGTGCAAAGTGTGACCCAGTGGCACCTTAACATAAAGTGTAAGATAAACACCATACATGTCATCAAAGTTTGTAAAGTGCAACAGTTTTAGATTTTTAAAGAAGAACAAAGGCTTCTCTTGGAAGCAAACTGAAATGTGCTTCAGTGAGGAGCCCATTCCACACCACCCTGCCAGTCCATGTGCACTAGAGGGAACACCATGTACTTTAAGACGCATGTGTGGCTTCCTGTGCAGAAACCCTGCATATAAGCTTGAATTCACAAAACAATGCTGTTGATTCCTACCTATCTGCAGATGGGACGTCTGGGTCCTGGGTCAGGCAGCAGAAAATGTGTGAGCAGGAATCTGCAAGAAAATGCCAAAGGGGGGCTTTGACGTGCTGCAACTGCTCTGTAGTGAATGTGATCTCAGTGAAAAGGGGGTGTGTAGCTCTGGTTTATGACCACGCGTGCATGTGTGTGCATGTGTGCACTTATTGTGTACGCACTGCCAGGAGCGACAACACAAAGAGGCAGCGTTTGGGGGGAAGGGATGGGGGAGAAGCAGAGGAAGAATTCTGAAGGAAGTTTGAGTCAAAGGAGAACCAGACTAAAAAAGACGACGCTCCTGTTTGAGATTCCATGAGGGTTAAACGGCGCTTAAGAGGTGGAGCTCTGCACATGTGCAACATGTTTGTTAGCCTGGACTGCGGCAAGGTCGACGTCTCGGCCCATAAAACTGTGAAATACGGCTCCCGTGGTTCTCATGTTGTTTCCTCGCTGTCTGCTCATCATCTCAGCCTGGGTTTTAATCCTGATTCCTTATTTTCTGTCTCTATGTCCAGGTTCCTTCCTCATATGCATGCAGATAAGACCCCTGGGCTGAATGCTGACTCTGCATGAGTTAACACCACGTTCAAACACCCTAAACACACACATTTTCTCCTCCTGTTGCTTTTTAAGACAAAGCCAGCAACATGAACTGTTTTCCTGACAGCAAACAGGCATTTGCTTGCAGCAGTTGGGGATTTAAATTTTAAAAAATAAAATAAATAAATAAATGTGTGTGCACTCTTGGAGGTTGTGATAAAATCAGAGGAGGCTTCAAAGTCAGTCTGTAGGTCAGTCATGGGAGACGTGCTGCGCATGTGCATGTTGACACAAGCACAGGACATCATGTATGGCAATGCTGATTGAATGGAGGCTGAAGCTGGCAGAAGTTTGCAGTATCAGCCTAGTATCATGAAAAGTTGTTTGTTTTTTTTTGCATTTGGTGCTTCATTGCACAACATGTGGCTGCAGCGACTGGCCGCCCTGCCCCTGACCTTTACCTCAACCCATTTGCATGTTATTTTAACTCACTAAACTGTCATGTGAAAAGCTTAAAATGCATAGACACGACATGCAAAATGTTTCTGAAGTTGCGTGCTATTAATACGCAATCCCCTTATATCACGTTGCCAATCTGGTGGAGCCGTTTGAAGCAAGGTGTCATGGGAAATATACAGTAAACAGGTGACCTCTTGGCTCCTGAACAAGCCCGTGTGCCTGAAGGACACAAGGGTCTCCTAAATGTTCCTCCACAGTGCACGAACACGTATGTCCTTGGAAACGGAGTGGATATGTAACTTGGGTTTTTGCTCGCGGCGTCAAAAGCTCACTGAGTGTTGGTTTACCGGCCCGGGGCTTCATAGCTGTACTTTTTAAACACGGCGGATTTTCATGTGTGATTAGTGTGTACAGAACCGAACCTAAAACCTTCACCAAACCCCTAATATATTTGTGTTTCTGTTACTGGAGTTTCTATGAGTCTGTACAGAAGAAGTCTGACTGGGAGTGTGAATATCTGTGGTTTAAACGACTCTATCACAAATGAATGAATGAATGAATGTAGTTCACATACAAAATGGAAGATGTGCTTCATGTAGCTCAATGTGCTTTAAAATTCAGCAGCAAAATAAATAAATAGATAAAGAAAAAGTAGGTCCAAAGGGATGAATGTTTATATGAACGGCCCCGTAACTGACCCTTTAGGTGCTCTGTTTCTATTTAGGTGTAGAATCGGACAGTTTTGACCCATTAAAAACCAGTGAAATCCAGTTGAAACAATTTCTAGAGACGACAAAGTGAACCTCTTACAGAACCCAGTATGAACCACACAAGAGCAGCCAGTCCCAGTATAAACCAGTAAAGACCAGCCCGACGAAGTACAAACCACTAAAGACCAGCTAGATTCAGTGCAAACTACACAAAACCAGCTAAACCAGTAAACACTAGTAAAGGCTAGTAGGACATAATATAAACCAGTAAAGACCAGCTAGACCCACCGCAAACCAGTGGAAACCATATAAGAGCAGTACAATAACATTCAGAAGAGCCTGTTGGACCAAGCACTGACCATGAGAGACTAGTTAGACCAAGTATAAACCACTTAGACCAAGTTAGACCCAGTATAAAGCAGTTAGATCCAGTATAAAACAGTTCGACCAGTTATAAACCAGTTAGACCAGGAATAAGTCAGTTAGACCAAGTTAGACCAGTTAAACCCAATAAAAACCAGTCAGACCCAGTATAAACCAGTTAGACCAAGTTAGACCAAGTACAAACCAGTTATAAACCAGTTATACCCAGTTATAAACCAGTTAGACCACAACGTTAACTCTAAATGTGCCAGAACAATGACAACGTTAGCGCACATACCTGAACTTCTGTGAGCGTGTTGGACGTAGAACAACGGAGATTTGTCAAGTTAGCGCATTTGGTGAATTTTACCTTGTTGGTGGCGATGTTGGAAATAAAACCGCTACTGGAGGAGGACATCGAAAGAGCAGAACAGCGCTCAATGTCCTCTTCGATTTTAACCAAATAATCTTATCGTCTCTGAGTTTAGCCAAACAGTGTTGACTCAGCAGTTTTTCAGAGATGCTCAGAAGTTCCTGCCCTTCATCAGGTACTTTACTCTTCCTCGAAAACAGCCCCTATAGGGAAGTTATACAGGGGCGGTTCTCTGATGTCCTGTTGCTCTAAAATGTCCTGATAGTTCCTAGAAAATGGCCCTAATGAGAGTTACTATTTATTTAACAGCAACAGCACAGTTAAGGCTTTAAGATAAATTAAAAGAGATTGCTGTTAAATACAGGGGAAATTTAGAAGTTTTAAGTTGTCGTTTTAAACTGTCCTCTGACAAATGAGCAAATGTATAATTTAAAGTCAGTGTTCCACATTTTTGGAACTAAATCAAGCCAAAGGTTTTTATAACGATGATGGGAACAGTTCAAAGAGAATCTCAGGACTCATGGAGGATCTGTAGGATGATACATAAGAGAAAGAAATCCATTTAGTGCCTCAGAGAAGGACTTTAAAATCACTTCTAAAAGAAACAGAGGCCCAGTGTAGGCTATGTAACTTAGAATCTTTGATGTTAGTTTTTATTTAAACCCTGGCAGCAGAATTCAGCATCTTGTCTCACCTTCGCTAAAAGGTGCAACCGAGGATAAAGTCCTTCACAATTCTGTATCTGAGAATGAATTTCTGGCAAATAACATGAAAACTGATGTTCCCATACAACTAAACTACATCCTCAAATACGTTTTGAGAGACTTTTCAGCTGGTTTATGTTTGCTTGTGCCACAAATGTATAATCTACATTCCTTTGGCATTGATTTTACTGCTTCACTGCTGCTCCTTGTCAGCCAACCAATCATGTGCGAGTATTAGGTGGGATGGAACCCAGAAAAAGGAGGAGACCAGGTGGCTTTGGTGCCTAAACTTAACCAATCTTCTACCAATTCTTGTTCCAAATGACATAGTTCTGGTGCCTCAATCCAACCGAACAGCAGAGTCTGGTTGCTGCTGTCTGTCCTTCCTGCTTCCTGCTGACATGGACTTTACGACTCCTTTAAATCTTTACCTCTACATCTCAGTCTTACCTTTCGGGTGGAAAATATGTCTCTCAGAATAAGTAAAAAGTGCTTCTGTCCTCATACGTTCTCAGCAGTGGGATCTTTGGGACCAAACAGCCAATAAAGCAAATTCCGACACAATGCCAAACACTGAGGCAGACCCACCTTTTGTTTCTGTTTGGACAAACGCACGCTGAGTTGGAGAAGCTTGTTAAACCTGTTGAGCGCCGAGGCCTTGCGGCTATGTAACTGTGGCGGAGCTGAGCTGTGTGTTCAAAGAGAAGCCCCAGGACGTGTTGCGAGTAACGGCAAACACGGGCATCTTGTACACAAATATTCCGGAGTGGTTACTGCGGGCTGTTCCGTCTTGTTAATGAACTTCATGAACTGACGAAGTATTTGGAGGGTTCGAACGCACCCGGCTGAGGTTTGAACTGCTTCATACAGACCAAATGTAAAACCACTGTGGTGAGAAGCGTCCACGTTACCAAACAATTTAACGGATTTATACAGACTGATGCTAGAAAAACTTCTCAAACAGCTAAACCTTTTCCTTGCACGGCTTTTGAATGATGCTAAAACCACAGACCACCACCGGGGTTTGACTGGATGAACCACAGTAACGGGTTAAACTAACCAGAGTTCATCTTAATAGAATCAAACTGGTCGGGTGATGCTTACATCATGGATGTAATGGGAACCAGGTTACATCACCTGGCCCTCCTCCTGTTCCAACAGAAACAAGCATTTATAGGCCGGGTGTGACACAACAGATTGTACAGAGGAGTGCCGTCTTTCATACTTCTTCACTACACCTCTATGGTTTTGTCGCTCCGATTTCCAGTCTATCAAACTGCATTCTGGTAGTTGAAACTGATCTGAGAGGTTCCAGTCGGATTTGTATTTGTGCATTTGTGTGGCACTTCCAGGCTAGAATAGCTGGACACTAGACTCAAACATTACATCCTCTCACTCAAATGAAAACTGCTCATGTGGTGCATTTGGGTTTCCTTCCTCATCGTAGGCCACATGTGCTTTAGTGTCTTTAGTTTGTTCCAGCAGAGGAAACACACTTTACATTGTGTGACAGCATGCAAACAAAGCTCACTTCTCTCAACTATGGGGAGCTTTTACAAATTTGAAGAGTCTGTGGATTAAAAATTAGAGTCATGTCTGTCAAACTGGAAACCTTCCTACTACAAAAGTCTGGACACACAAACAAACAGACACACTGCCAGCTGTGCCCCGAACATCTGGTACAGGTTTTGCAGATGCCTATTTTTTCCCTGTTTTTTTTCTTTTCCGACTCTTGATCTATGCAGGAGTTTTGGAGCGCTTAACTTTCATGACATTGGTTCTCAAACAGTCCTAAACGCTGCATATGCAGATTGGAGAAAACACAGTCGACTTCCTCCTTTTTCACACAAAAGTACAATTTCACACTGAGCTGACAGAATGCAGATGGAGGTCTTACCGTGGAAATGACTCAGATGCACTTCAGAAGGACTCGACACTGATCAAACGTCAGACCGACGCTGCTTTTCAAACCTACAACAATAAAAAAAAAAGAGAATTGTTGGAGAAACTTAAATGATTCAACAGGTAACATGCAATTAAATTAAGTTTATGTTGGTTAACAAGTTACTCAAACAGTTGCTGTAGCATCATTTAAGAGAAGTCAGCTTGTAGTTTCCCATTTTACAAACTTATACATACAAATTTAAAATGTAAATCACAATTTTGTCATTGGACTTACCGTCTTTTTCTTTATGGTGCCTGAGTTGCAGCAGAAAAACTGGAAGAAACGTGGACGTTGAGATGTCGGATGCTCAGTACTAAACGAGCAGTGAACTGAATTTTAACCAAAATTCAAAAAACCAGTTTAAAATATAAATGTAATGACAAGTTGATATAATCCACAAAAAATATATATCTGCCATCACCACAGCAGAAAGATTAAGGAGATTCTTTTGAAGCAGTACTTTACTTCAGCTCAAGTACACGTTTTACCGTACAATTGACAATAATCCCTAATATTAACATATATAATGTTAATAATTCATGGCTTCACTGGAATTTATTTATAAAAGAAATGATGCTTGGAACATCCTTTTCACTGAAAAAATAGGTTATTAAGCCAATTTATTTCCATTAGCTTTACTTAAACTTTGTGCTGAATCAACTTAAGCAGAAAATCGAGTCTAAATTTTGCACAATATTTAGCTGAAGCAACGTTATTCTCTCATTTACAACCCAAACCAGCTGCTTCCTGCTGCTCTGCTTGGTGCCATCTTCTTCTTCTAATATTTGCTTATTTATTAAATCCTCACCACCTTTCTGATGTGATGTTGATTTATTCGATGCTTGATAATGTTAATTACGTCTGTGTTAATAAAGCATGAGCTGAAGCTGAATTGAGAGGAGAGAGAGTTTCAGTTCCACATGTGTCCACCAGGTGTCTCCATTGGATCTCCTCTGTTCAACCATCACATGCTGGCAGAAAGGTGGAAAGTTTAAAACAGCTGGTGTTCTCAGGTGAGCTGAGGTAAAGACTAAAGAATTTATGATTTTAGTCGAAAATAAAGAAAATTTAAAAGAGAAACCTAAAATATATAGATATATATTACACACACATCATTGGAGTCTATAAGAAGGATCCAGTGCATTAAATCTATATAAATATATGAACTCTGAAATGGAAAAGAGCAGTAAAATACTATATGTATACATATTTATATATACAGTTCATATCATTGGACAGTGCATGTGCTGTACTGTAAGGTGGATGTTATTCTTTTATATTAACATTCAACACTGGAGATCATATTTATGTTTTTTTTTTTTTATATATCAGGTCAAACAACAGTAGAAGTAAATAAAAAGTTAATGTTATAAGGTGGGAAAAAAAATATTTTTACACATGCGAAACAAGCAAAGCAACAAAAAGGATATAAATTGGAAAAACAATTTTAAAAAGGGAAGCCGGAGAACCCAGAGAGAACCCACGCTGCACGGGGAGAACATGGAGACTCCACACAGAAAGGTCCCGGGTGTCCTCACCGGGACACGAACCGGTGACCTTCTCGCTGTGAGGCAACGATGTCCATTGGACCCCAAGAAAGAATATGTGCAAAATACTTGTTGGTATTCATTATAGAATTTTATGCTTTGTTAAATAAGTTTTCTGATAAGTTGACATATTTTTGGTTCCAAATGCATGACAAATGTCCCTGTTTTTATATTAAAAAAATAAAATAAAATCTTAAAAAATGAAAAAACAACACCTGTCACCTAAACCCAAAAGTCCTGAATAGGGTTAAAGAAGACCAAAAAGCTGACTTGCTGAGACTCACAGAATTTCAGGACATGAATTTTTACTATCTGATGTAATCGTCCCACCTGGATGTTTGGATGAAGATAATAAAAGCACAAAGTGCTTTAAGATGCCTGAGCAGAGAACTCAGAGTCGACATGACGCAGCTGAGCAGTAAATATGAATGAAGAGCAGCAGCGGGAAAAACAGCTGAATCCAATCATGATTTCATATTTACAGGCCTCGAGAGAGAAGCTGTTGCTTTGCTTAAAAGTCTTATTTTGGAGGATGATTTGTTTTGCACATACAGGGTCAGGTGAGCTACAGACGTGTGGTGTAATCAGTCATTTCTCTATCAAATCATGTAAAAACGGAACCGAGGCAGAAAAACTTTGTGTGAACATTAATGCTTTTATTCATCCGTTTAATTAAGACCAGCGAGGAACTTTTTCCATCCACACAAACCCACTTATCAAACCTGCCACCGCATCCTGTTGCATCCATTCAGATCTGTCTCCCTCTCAGCCATGTTTCTCATTATAAACTGGTCCGAACGGGTTCCACACAATTAGCACAGGCTCACCCTTCTGCTGCATAACCAAACCGCTGGAGCCGGGGGACTATAAAAGGGAGGCAACATGGAGCGAGGGGCAGAAAGAGTGACGAGAAAACGAAGCTAAAACTGACAAAAGAGGAAGAAAAGGAAGAAAGAAAGAGAGAAAGAGAGAGAGAGAGATGGCTGAGAGAAGAACCAATGGAAGCAAAGTCCTCATCACAGGTGAGATGGACCGATTTTATCTGTCTTTTACAATCTATTACAGTATTTGGAGATGCTTTGACAACATTTTTTTCATCGATGAAAAACAAGACGTGCAGAAATTTGTCCAATATTTTGATGTTCAGCTGCACAAGTCTGAGATTCTGAACATTGAGGCCAATTTAAGCTTAAATAAATGATATAGTTGACAAGCTGTTCAGTATAAATCTTGGTCTTAAACAACCACATGTAGAGGATCCTTGAGAAAACACACTAAAAAATACAAAAACTAGTTGAGATTTAGATGTTCAGCTGCTCAGATTTGGGATTGTAACCAGTTTGAACCTGCTGGAGGTGGATCCAGTCCAGCACCAGCTGGAAGAAATGAAGACGCAGTTTATCAGCC